GTACATATAGTCAAGGCCATGGTTTTCCCAGTTGCGATGTATGGATGTGAAAGTTGGACCATAAGAAAGGCTGAGCGCAAAAGAATTGAGGCCTTTGAACTATGGTGCTGGAGAAGACTCCTGTGAGTCCCCTGGACTGCAAGGCATTCAAACCAGTCAGTTCTAGAAGAGATCAACCCTGACTGCTCTTTAGAAGGCCAGATCCTGAAGTTGAAACTCAAGTACCTAATGAGAAGGAAGAACTCACTGGAGAAGAGCCTAATGCTGGGAAAGAAAGGGATGACAGAGAATGAGATGGCTGGATGAAGTCACTGAAGCAGTAGGCGTGAGCTTAAATGGACTCCAGAAGATGGTAGAGGAGAGGAAGGCCTGGAGGAACGTTGTCCATGGGGTTGCGATGGGTCGGACATGACTTCGCAACTAACAACAACAACAAATATACTAAAGTGATACAACAGGTGTGTTCTCCTATGAAGAAGTCAAATGTGAACGAAGAGGTCATTTTTAACTTATGACCATTTTTTTAGCAACTGTTCAAAGTTACAATGGTGCTGAAATAATTCTGGTCCTTGCACTTACAACTACTGCACAACCACATGGTCACGTGATTGCAATTCAGGCATTTGGCAACCAACTTGCATTTATGATAAGTTGCAATGTCCTGCAGTAATGTGACTGTAATCTGTGACCTTTTTTGCCTACTTCCAACAAAAAATGCCCATTCAGAAGAATGGGTTCACGCTTATGACTATGGGGTTTACTTAACAGCTGCAGATATGCCTGAGGACTTGTAAAAATGATCATAAAATTGGGTTAGACTCAACTTGCAACCACAATGACATGTGACAGAAATTCTAATCCTAAATTGGTCATAAATTGAGGACTGCATTAAACTCATAAACATTTGAATTTGCAAGATTTTTCTCATTTATAGTTAAATTATCAAAAGACTCTTAAGTATTATTGCTTAATTTATATAAGTGTACTGCACTAATTAAATCTTGCTTTTATGGAATATTAGAGATACCAAGCACAGTAATAAAGCTTAAAAAATGTAGTGTCAAAGGCATTCTAACTTTATAGAATGTTTATTATTTCCAGGAGTTCAGGTAGTCCTTGACTTACAACAGTTTGTTTAGTGACTGTTCAAATTTACAACAGCACTGAAAAAAGTGACTTATGACCATTTTTCATACTTATGACCATTGCAGCATCCCTGTTGTCACATGATCAAAATTCAAACACTTGCCAAATGACTCATATTTATGATGGTTGCAGTGTCCCAGAATCATATCATCACCTTTTGCGACTTTCTGACAAGCAAAGTCAATGGGGAAGGCAGACACACTAAACAACTGTGTTACTAACTTAACAACTGCAGAGATTCACTTAAATTGTGGCAAGAAAGGTTATAAAATGGGGCAAAATTCACTTAACTGTCTCACATACCAACAGAAATTTTGGGCTCCATTGTGGTCATAAGTTGAGGACTATCTGTACATACAATGTCTTCCCTGAAAGCATAGCACAATTCTTCACTGTTAAGTATGAATATTTTTATAGTTTTATAGTATTTGTAAGTTAAAGGAAGGAATATATGGATATGTATGACAGTTGTTCTCATAATATGTTACTATTATTACTTTACCAGTACATCTCCTGGGATTTTCAAATTGTTCTGGGCATTACACAAGCAAATTGCTAACTACTGATGGTCTCTACACAATACATGACATCAACACTATGGCACAGCTAGGCAGATTCAGCTGGGTTAAAACTAAAGGGAAACAAGCATTGTGGTGTATTGTCTATCTATTTATTACTTCATGATCTCTACAAGTAGGTTAGAAGGCTAGAAGGAAACCCAACTTATACTTAATAAACTGACGTCAATAGATTACAGCAATCCTCTCCCCTATGCAAGCTCTTCTGCCCCAGAGCCAGCCAAACACTCAAATAATCTCCACCTGTGAAACGCCAGCCAAGTCTGAGAATTAAGGGTAGAGGATAATTTCCTCAGTAGAGAAGATTTATCAAAATAACCCTAGTTAGCTACTTAATTGCATTTGCATGGCTTTGTTTGACAATTCAAGAGAACTCGTTACTTTGATGCTTAAAAGATATCTGAAACTTTTTGATTTACATGTGCGTGAATACATATGTATTTATGACAGTGTACTATGTCACACAGTGTGAATAAACCATGTACAGCATTGTTCCTGGGAACACAAAACGCCTACTTAGGATTATTTGGAACAAGCCTCTTTATCTATTTGATATATCTTGGAAAGAAACTTTGTGGCAGCACTCTTTTGTATACAAAGAAAACAAAAACCTTTGAGCAAGGAGATCCTTTTTTTAAAAAAAAATGGCAGAAATCAGTTTTTCACAGGATGAACAGTTTTAAAAATTAGTGTTTATGCCCAAGAACCTCTGCTTGGGTTATACAATGTCAAAGAAACCCTGCAGTCACCAGCATTAGCGCAGAGGCTTCCTGAATTCATTTTTGGCTACAGTCTTAAATCACAAGTCACTACATAGCTGAAAATTAGTATATATATAGGACTACATAGCTAGTGTAGATGGCACACAGAATTTAATTAGTAACAAAGAAATTAAAACAGAGACATTCTTATTTTATGGATAAAATAAAACCAACCATTGTGTGCCTGCAGTATAAATTTTCACTGCTGATGTAAAGGATGGCATCATTCAATCTGACCTTCAAAGTGACTATGGCAACTCCGCTCATTGTATTCTTATGGAAAACCTTGGCTCTATGGTGCTATTTAGGAAGCAATAGGAAAAGTGAATCCTTTATGGAATGTTTCTTTTCCGTAACAGCATTAAAGAGGCTTCAAATACTATTTACATTCACAATTCCAGGTCCACTATATTATGGTACATAAAATTTGTCCACCAACTAAGGGAAAAGCAAAATATCCAGCTAAAGTAGTCTACTGTCCATAAAAGTTTATTATAATATATTTAGGATATTTTTATTGTTCCTAGAATATTTTCATAAAAATTAAAGCTAGCAAAACTTCTTAACTTGAAAAAAGCTTAGGAAATAATCTTACCACATAGGACAAAAAAAAAAACCCCTTATTATCCTTAAATACTTAATTAAGCTCATTACATTATAAGCGATGTAACACAAATATGAGAAACAGTCATCTACTAATGGCTAAAGGCAAAGGTGACTAAAATTAGACCAGTTGTTCACATATCCTTGGCATTGAGTGTGCATACACAAAATGTTGTGCTATTTAACATGAGGTTTCGTACTGCATTTTTACTTGCAAATAACCATTTTTCAGCTGCCAACATTAGTGATATTCAAGACCACTTCATAAATTTTGTTTTTAAGCAAATGGCTATATTTTAAATATTCCCCTAATAATGTAAAGTAATAAATGCAAAAAAATGCTTTTCAGAAACAGATGTGTTGGAGAGAAACATTAACCAAAGTGCTATGACTCAGTGATAGATGTATGTTGTCTGAAAAATCGAAGTTCGCTATCATACAATTGAACTAAATAATTGCAGAATCAAAGCATCCTGAAAGTTTTGTCATGCAAGAATTAGGTACAACTATACTTAACAGAATCCAGTAGTTAAATGCCCAAAAGTACAGAGAGAAATTATTATGACTATATTACAGTATGTTCTTAGTATTAAAGTGTAGCGCTCCCGCCTCTAATTAGATATGATCTGACAAACAGGCATACAGTAATAAAATAAATGCAAAATAATGCAAAAAAGGAGACATCCACTACCTCTTGAAACGTTAAAGTACTTTAATATAATAGAAAGTTGCCATCTGAACAGAGGTGGCAAGTGGGAATTTTTTAGCACTGTGTGTACTGAGTGGACATGAAGAGAAAAGTCTCTCTGGGGTGGTTCAACATCATGATAAGTTGTAAATTGATGGTTTTGGTTTAACATCTTAAGTTAAAAACAATGGTTTACAAATCACCCAAACTTAAGCTCTAGAGAAATCAACGGAACTTCTTTCCTTCCAAATCAGCACATTTACTGTTGCCTTTCCAAGGGCAAAATCTATAAAAACAACTTATTTCATCTGTCATTTATCTAAAGCCCATGTATGTTTAATGTATATTAATGTGCCTCCAGTGGACACATGGCCTTTCTTGCTTTATTCTGTTTCAAGGGATTTACAAAAGGCATAATCATCTCCCCTATACTTACTAAGTTACACTGACATTTACAACACAAATGTATGGCCTTTGAATAAATAAAAGTTGCAAAACCATAAGCATCATTTGTTCTTTTTGTTTTTAAATTGGCAGCACACAGAAAAGAATTTTTGCACAACTTGCACAAGAAACTTTATATTTTAATATAATTTATTTTGAATACCCATCCAAACTGATCGTCCTTCTCTCTTACTTTGCAGAACAAACTGTAGTGGACAAAATGACAGTCTCAAAATCTGTACTGCTTTTCAAGTTTGCCCTCTAATCCATCCATAACTAGTGTCATAACCTGATGTTTAATACAGTTATGATTGTTGCAAAGTTTTGCATTTTTATATGTTCTTATCTAGGATCAATTCTTTATAGAGTTTCAATTGAATTTGCTTCCAAGCAACTATGCATAAAATGGGATGATATCCACAAACATTACCAGGAGGTAAGAAACCAGTTTCAGCCCAATTTTATGTATCCTTTACAGGGAAGCTGCAGAAGTGGACAATAATTGCTGTCAGGAAGGCAGACTGAAGGAGTTTTTTTTTATCCAGACCTGATGGACTTATCTTAGATGACAGATCAAGATATCAGAGCGCTATCCTGTTGCACACCCAATTTTAAGCCTAGAAACCTTGTTACGCAAAAACTGCCTGCTTCTCCCAAACCCGAGGTGTGTATATTTTCCTCCTGAGCCGTCAGGTTTGGCGGGGAAAACAAAGCAAGGCACAGGAAAACTGAAGAGGCGGGATGGGAAGGGGTCGATAGATGGAAACACGGGGGTCCTACCTTATTCGAGGCCATTTCACTGACGGAGTGCCTGGTCTGCAAGGTTTCCAGCTGGTCCAGGCACCAGTCCAGCTCCTCCAGGGTCTCGCTGGCCAGTTTTTGGTAGGCCTCCTCTGCGAAGAGATAGGGAAAGGAGTACTCAGTTCGCAAGCGTTTCACGGGGCTAACAGCAAGCTCCAACGGGTCCATCCTGCCATACCCAGCCATGGGGGGATGCCCAGTGCCCACACATGAGTTCTGCTCCTTCATATTGCTATGCCCGAGCAAGAAGGAGAAAAGGCGGGCTCCGGTCTCCGGCGAGAATGAGGAAAAAACAAAAGTCGCTCCAGTCTTTTCTTATCGACTCCAGCAACTAGACTCGGCGGGCGGGCGGGCGCACTCGGCGGCGCTGCTCAGAGGGGAGTCGGGCGGGGACTGAAGCGCGACCGGTTCTCCTGAGGAGCGCCGTCCCTCCACTCTTGGAGCGCGCAAGGCGGGCAAGAATCGTGTCACTCTGGCTAGCTGGGACTGTGCCTTCTGGCAAACGAGAGACTTTAGGCGACACGCAGCCGGCCAGCCGCTTTCCTCCCTGGGGCTGGAGGCAGCCAAGCAGCCAACACCTTCCTCCTCCTCCTCCTCTCCTTCGGGCAAGCTTCAAGCCTCAATGAATCAGAGCAGCGGCTGCCGTGTGTGCAAGCCACCACATTTCCTGTTTGCTCAACTTCTCTGTGCGTAGCAGAGGCAGCGGCAAAGCTGAAACTCAGCTCTGAGGCTAACAGCTCCAAGGGAAGCGCCTCCGTTCCTCCAACCCTCCCGATTTCCTTCCTTCCTTGCAGAGAAACCTCTTATTTTTCCCGCCCTGAGAATCTTAATTAAAACATCAATTCGCTCTTCGTCCCCCCCCCACCCTCCTCCTTATTGTTTCGTGCTTTCTACTGAGAGGGGAGGAGAACAACGCCGTGGCGCTTTCAGCCTTTGAACAGGCGTCGCCGAGAGTTTTGGCGAAAAAAAGGGGGGGGTTGCGTGTGTGCAGCTGTAAAGGGGGAGGGGGAAGAGAGAAAGAGAAAACTCGGCAAGGAGTTGGGGACTTGTTCCACTGCGCCTCCTCCCTTTCCCTTCCCTTCCAGGGCGGCTTTAACGCTGGCGCTGCTCTGCAAGACGAGCGGAGAGCTCCAGCTACGGCTACCACCTGTGCGGAGCTGAGCGAAAGCCGCGGGAAGCCCTTGCGCCTCGGGACCCGGGAGATCTGATATAACTAGAACTGGCCCAGGCCGTTGCGCTTGATTTCAGCATCGGGCCTCGTGTTAACGTCGAAGGCCTTCGGCTTTAGCGCTTGGTGCGAGACTTGGCCGCGTTCAAGAGCGCATTGAAGCTTGTTCGCGCCGCTTCTTCATACCGCTTTAATGCCCGAGATAAAAAAAAACCGTTTCTTTTTCTCAGGGCTAATCCGTCTACAGCCATGGCCGAGCGCTCATAGTAGCGCTACTGTCTGCAAGGCACTCGTGGGAGATAAGACTATTTGGAAGACGACTTTACGAGATTTTAGGGCTACGTGGGAGCCACGGGTGAAATGACACCAAGTCTCTCTTTCGGTTTCTCTCTCACTCACTCACTCACTCAGTGGTGGCCTCCACATATCAGCAAAGGGCTACCTTTGGCAGCTGGTATGCCTAAAGCCCCTCGCCAGCAGCTTTACATTCCTTGTTCCCCTTTCGCATTACCTCTGTCCCTGACTACCACATAGCCAAGGGATTTGGGCCTTGCTGTTCAAAGTCCAGGAAAAAAGCAGTATCTCTAATTTATAGGGATTGCCTGCGCACTGCAGTCCTGCATTAAGAGAGAAACCTGCATTGACTGGTCACTTTCTGCCCTAAGCTGAACCAAGCTTGCAATGCTGGCTTTTTAAACTTCCAGTGCCCTGCTCTTCATCCACTGCTATTATCACCACTAAAGATCTGTCTAAACAGGGAAAGCATTTTACCATCTTTGGATACACTCCAAAGATAAGTACTTTTAAGGTCTTGTTGACTTCAGTAAAGGAAAGTGTTAAGAGCATCATTCAGTCTCTTCTAAATCAGCATGACTGATTTGTGCATAACTGGCTGGCCAGTGCCTGTAATCTTGTTTTGGCCTCAGCACTGCTCTGATGGAAATTCTCACATTATGGACAAATAACTAAGGTCATCCAACTGAAAAATGATTAGGACTCAGGTCTTTTATCTCTTTGGTTTGCAAATTCTTGCCTACTATAGTGTACCATATCCCATACAAATTGACTCCATGTTTTCCTTAGCTTATCATACATACTGGACATTATACTGAGTATTTGCATAATTTCAGTATATTGTGTCAATTTAGCCAAATAATCATCAGGAAAGACCTTTTCAAATATTGCAGCATGTTTACTTTAAACCAAATCCCAGGTCTTGTATATTGTTATCTTGAAAAAGATCGTGCATCTCTAGTTTACAACAGTGAATTATTGGAGAGAGCAATGGTTTCATGCCCTGATTCAAAATATGTATTCATTAATGAACTTCCATAATCTTTTGCTCTCTAAACTGTTTTGAACTACAGTTCTCATCTTTGACCACTTGCCGTAGTGGGTTGTACAGTTAGATCCAAACAATCAGAAAGATGCCATCTTGTGAATAAAAGCATTAATCTCTCATCCATTTTCCAGAACGGAAACTATGTAACCACTAGATTTTCATGCCATATTTTTCAAAATAGCCTGGGAATTCTTCCCTAAGTCATTATTTTGAAATTAAGATTTTGCTACATACCCATAGGCTGTCTATATCCATAGGCTGTCTGGCATCAAAGACTGTTTTTAAGGTAAAGGTTTTTTGAAAAAAGAAGAGGGAAGAGGCTAATGCCTCTGGAAGCTTCTATTTTCTTTCATGTTGTCATAATTAACATCATAGTATGATTATATATGCTCTGAATCCAAAATGAATTTTGTATTCTAGCAAACAAAATTCTCCTTATCACATAAATGAAATATAATATTTGAACAATGAATATCTAATTTTTTAAGATGATATAGGGGACTTTTGGTTCTGTTCTTAATGAAGTTATGGTTACAAAGCATAAATTAATGTGAATTAAAACTGATGTCCTTTTGGCATTACATCTACAAAGGCTGCTATTTGTTGTTGGACATAAAAATATATCTGTATTTTAAGGAAACTATACATATGTTCCAACTGTACTACTGTAATGACTAGCATTTGTTTTAGTCGCTTAGTTTTATTGCATTTGTTTTCTTAGTTCCTGAAAAAAACCCTCAGCTTTAGTGCTTATAAATGCTGATACAGCAATACAAGTTTAACAGTCTGCTGATAAGAATTGAGAAAGAGCCAGCTGGGAAGGATTTATTCTTCATGACAGGTAAACCTCTGATCCCCATTGTGAAAAAAAGGAGAGAAAATAACCACAACAGAAGTGAACCTGTTTCTTTGTGCGTCAGGAATAAAACTTGAGAAATCCCCTGTGTTTTCTTTAAAGTTAAAGGTTGACTGTTTCACAATAGAGGCTCAAGCAGTCTGACTACTTGTTTCAAAGAAAGAAAAGAATGAAAGCCTTATAACTTTTTTTTTTTTTTGTATTTTCTGAGAAAGAGCTGGAAATTTTAAAGTCAGCATGTGTCAGCTATGAAGAGTTGCGGTTTTCACAAGCAACCTTCTTAAAGTAAAAAGCATGTCATAATTTTTCACAGGGTCATGTGACCCAAACCAGCAATTGTTCCTCAACCTTTCAGTCTCCCTTGGTCAGTCAGTGACTTCAGCTTAGGGCTTAACTCTGTGTCAAAGTTTATTCAAGGACTCATCATCCCTGTCCCTCTTGGAAAAAGTTTACTACAAGTAAAACTGAAACATTGGCCTATAGCACAGGTCGGCAACCTGCGGCTCCGGAGCCGCATGCGGCTCTTTGAGCCTTCCCCTGCGGCTCCCAGCCTCCTCTGCCTTTGCAGAGAGAGACAGAGACAGAGAGAGGAATTGCGCTTCCCTGCTTTTCTCTCTCTCTCTCTCTCTCTCTCTCTCTCTCTCTGTGTGTGTGTGTGTGTCTGTGTGTGTGTGTGTAAAAGAGAGTGCACTCACAGTGTTCTCCGAGGAGCTGAAAAGCTTACTGGGCGGAACTCCTCCCTTCGCTGCGTCTCTGCAGGAAGCAGGAAGGGCAGGAGAGAGCTAGCTAGCCCAGCTAGGCTGACTCAGGAATTCTGGGAGTTGAAGTCCATGAGTCATAAAAGAGACGAGGTTGCCTACCCCTGATCTTGTTGGACAACAGCCTGAAGCTTGTCAGGTGAGCAGCAGATAGGAGGGGGGGGAGAAAGAGAGAGAGAGAAAGAGAGAGAGGGAGAGAGAGAGAGAGGAAAGAGAGAGAGAGAAAGAAAGAGAACGGGGGAAGAGGAGTGGCAGACCAAGGGCAAATAGAGAGGGAGAGAGAGAGAGACCCTTTTGACATCTAAAATGAAGATAACACTGCATATATCCTTTTTTTACGTGTGTGTGTGTGTGTGTGTGTGTGTGTGTATGTATATATATATATATATATATATATATATATATATATATATATATATACATACATACGTAGGCCTTTGGTTGTTCGGGTTTTCTCCCGCGTAAAATTGGAAGTGTCTTGGCGACGTTTCAACGAAGTCCCATTCGTCATCTTCAGGCTGGTGTTTTCAGCTTCGTGCTTCGAGGAGCACGAAGCTGAAAACACAGCCTGAAGATGACGAATGGGACTTCGTCGAAACATCGCCAAGACACTTCCAATTTTACGCGGGAGAAAACCCGAACAACCAAAGGCCTACATACAAACACCCGCGAAAACCTCAGAAAACATACATACATACATATACATACACACACACACACACACACAAACACACACACACCTATAATAAAGGTAAAAAAGGATATATGCAGTGTTATCTTCATTTTAGATATCAAAATGGTTTTGCAGCTCCCACTGTTTTGTTTTTGGTGGGAAACGGGTCCAAGTGGCTCTTTAAGTGTTTTGGGTTGCCTACCCCTGGCCTATAGACTGATTAGAGTGACTAAGGAAATGGGCTACATAAGGTTGACAATTATTCTCAAAGGAAGGGCGACCAGAATTCAGTTTC